CATGTATTTAGAAGCAACAAATTTGTGTTGCCACAGCAATATGTATCATTGATGATTCTGAAATATTTTCTGGTAAGAGAGCTTCAAAAAAATTTATCTGTTGAAATGCAATACTTTTTTTTGTAGAGTGTAATCACTGTTATGATGGTGATAAGAAAGTTATTAAATTTTGTGTTGACACAGGGCATGATGTGTAACTTTGAGGTTATATATGACAAATGTGGAATCTGTATTAGTGGAAAACTATGCACAGAAATAGAAGTAATAAGAATGACACAAGGGAGTCTCTCTCTACAAACTACCATAGTGAAGGACTTTATGCCTTACTGCCTCCTGTGAGGTGCCTGACAGTGTGGCAGGGTTAACAGTCGCATGCTGCTGCTGTTGAGGTGTGATCACTTGTTGCGCCGTCACCACTGTCGGGATGCCTTGCGATGGGACTCCCACAGTCTGCTGTACTGTCACTGCTACCAGAGGAGTTCCACTCGCTGAAGTCTGGATGCGGACAGGGCTCTGACTTGCCTGTCGTACAGCCACCGACACAGGTTGTCCCTGTAATGCTGCATTTACCTGCAAATAACATATTGACCAAGCAGCTCAATGACTGGAATCTTCTTAAATGACTGATAAGTTTTAATAAGGAACACTTCTTTATGTGGAAAAGAGGCTAATAGTTTTTAACTTAAAGATATTTTAGTTACATTTCCAACCATTCTTGCAACAAAGGCAGCAATTTACACAGTAGTGTAATTTAAGTGAAATAATGATAAAGATATAAGGTAAAGTTGTCCTATTATCTAAGCCAGTGGTCCTCAACCTTTTTGTGCCTACGGGCACATTTGAGAGTTCATTATGAAATCGTGGCGGGCACCAACCAATTAACAAAGCCAAATTTTCTTTTCTCTGGACAAATAAGATATGGACACCAAATAATACACAGAACAACACGACGTTTAATGATACAAGAAACCACGTATTCGAAAATACGTAGTTTTATAAGTACAATTATTATTACTCAAGTGGGAAGTTAGTGCGATGTTTGGGACTGCATTTCATCGGCCAGTTTTTCAAATTTGGGAGTGTAGGATGATGCTGCTCGCAAACAATCGTCAAGATGGGCGTCAGTAAGTCGAGATCTGTGCTTTGATTTTATAATGTTCATGGTTGAACGGCCTTCATTACTCAGTATAACCTCTTTCCGTAACAATGCAGGCACCCAAAAAAAGCCTTGGCGGGTGCCATGGCACCCGCAGGTACCGCGTTGGGGACCACTGATCTAAGCCATGACAGAAGCAGAGGTATAAAGCTCCATACAACTAGACAAAGGTGAGTGATCAACTTCATACTCTGGCTACTTTACCCTTGGTACATGTTGGACAAGAGGCTGGGTGGGCCCCACAGCCAGTATGGACATTATGGTGAAGAGAAAATTCCTACTCCACCAAGAATATACCCCGTCATCCGGCCCCTATCCCTGACTGGCCTAGTCTGACTCCAAATGAAGGGAATAATTCTATGTAACACAATGAAAATTCAGAACCTCACCTGTGACAATAAAGCGTGCTGCTGTGCCGTGGAGACTGATGGCGCCACCTTGATGGTGCCAGCAAGAGCTGATGCCAGTGTTGATGCAACACTAACTTGTGGTCTCCCAGCAGCATCAATTGTTACATTGGGGACAGATGTCCGCACACCAGAGGAAGCAGTTACCACCTGCAAAAAACACTGACATTTTATCACTTCACAATAAATACAATTAAAGAATTTTCATTGTTACAGTGAAACTAAATTGAACTGAACACACACTCCAGCAAATTATTAATTTTCTTCATTAAAGATGAAATTTAAACTTTTCTGCACTTCAAGGACTATGTTTAAATATATGAAAAACAAATCATTTCTAATGCTGCTGCTGCTGCTACAAGTCTTACATACAACATAAATGAACAATAGAGTTCATGCTGATCACAACAAAGGAACTTATGGCTGATCGTGAAGGATTATTCAAACAAAGTCAGTGTCCCACTTCTAACTAATGGCTAGTTTTGTTAAAGAAATTTATTGAGAGAACCTGAAACTATTTGCAGTACAAAAATAATAAACTGCCACGGAATTAAAATAAATTGTCCTTATTTATAACCCTGTAGCCCATGACTCGATAAGAAGAGGTAAATGTGGTCCCAGGTCTGGAAAAGGTAGAGAACGCCTGCTCTGAGTAATAGACTGGTCAAAGTATTAAATGTGATCTGGATGGTAGGGAATGGCATGCATGTGCTTTGCATCTCACCTGTATCGTCTGTTTAAGAGACTGTTGTGTGCTGGACACGGGAATAACTCGTGTCTGCAAGGTCTGGCCAGGTGAGGACACTTGTGGTGCTTTAGTAAGCACAGCATGAGATATCACCTGACTTCCTGCTGCTTGCGATACAGCCTGACCACCTGACACCTAAATCATAAGCAGGATTTGAGATTGTCACAGTGGTGAGCACAGAGATGGCAATTTTTTGATAAACATGATGTAAAGTAATTCATTTTTAAAAGCAATGTGATGAAACTCTATGTGACTCACATGGGTAATGTGCTGTGGTTGAACATGCTTCATAACTTGCTGAATCTGTTGTACAGTCATAGTGGTTGGCAGAGCCTTCTGGGACTGGACTATCAGCTGTGCTTGAACTCCTGCTTTCCCACCCACCTGAAAGTGCAGAATTTGCAATTGAAAATCAGAAAATACTTGCTTGTAACTGTATCTTGGTTTTACAATACATCTACACTTGAAGTAAGCTACTAATTTGGCAGGGACTGATTGATGTCAGTCTTCTGGGTTGTAACACCATGTGGACTTGTAGGCACATATCAATCATTGAGAGGAACATAGTGGCTCCATATTCAGCCCTCAACATCTTCACTGACATAAGAACTCAAATCTCATATAAATTACTAACTAGCTAGAATAATTAAGGAGTCACCACCTTGATGATGAAGGCAGCAAGCACCTCTGAAACACTGGTAAACTTCTACTATACCACAGACTGCAACAACCCAGAACAGCCATCTTCATGCTTGATGCCATGAGAACCTCAAATCTCACTTGCATTAAGTAACATCACTCACTGACTGTAAAAACAAGTCAGACTGAACACAAAGAAAAGTGTACGTCAATCTGGATTAAAGACAATGACTGTGCGCATATCACTGACAACATATAAATTCTGTTGCTACCACGGAATTTTTTTAGATGCAAATTTAAGACGAAGCCTATAAGACAGAGTGATAACCTGAGTGAGCTGTGCCATCTTTTGCGCTGGCAGCTTTCGCTGTTGCAGTAGCTGTTGTTGGATCGCCAGCTGTCGTATCTGTTGGGGTGTAGCAGTCTTCATGGTACCCGCAGCTTTCACCTGCGGCAGAGTCATCCCTGTCACTGGGATTGTCACACTTTGAGGTGAACCTCCAGTGCCTGGAGCAGACACTGTCTTCACTAGTGTCGCAACCTGAGTCTGGCCTGATGTACCTGCCTGCTGCACCTGCATTAAACATGGTTGCTCTAGAATTAGACCACACGATTCCACTTCACCTGCTTTTTCATTTCTATCGCTCGTACTTGGTGAATTATTATGCTTCTTTTTAACATCTAAGCACTGTCAGAGAAAAACATGAGGGACTGGAATTGAATGGGACTTCACTTCACAAAGTTAGATAGTAAGTACTGACACATGTTCTTTATTGTGTATCATTATTCATTAATGGTCAGCATAAATTAATTATAAAAGGAACTTTGTATAAGCAAGTATTACATGGTACAATCTAAAAGTATGTGTTGTAAGAAATATACATGTGGCATACAGTGATGAATGCCCTGATAATGCAAAGAATACACATGTTTCAAGGTTCCTTTAAGGGACACAGGTCTCCTGCATTTGATTTAGGATACACATGACACTGTTTATGTGTAGGGATGTAGCGACCCCATCGCCCAGGGGGATGCCACTGCAATCAGCCACCCGAGTAATGGCGGGAAAACCAGAACTACAGAGGTGGTAGGAAATGACCAACCTCAGCCTCAACACAGAGGACGGCCAGCCAGGTGGCTTAGGAGGCAGCCCCTCCAAACCTGGCAACCAGTCGTTGGGCCAATCACCCACACTTGGTTTTTAATATGATTCGGAGAAAAAAGATCGTTCAGCTGGACAGCTTCCATGGAGATGACATAGGTGAGGAAAGGATATACGATTCGGAATTTGGAATATCA